AACAGATAGCTGAAACTTTAACAAATAAATAACTCAGTTACCTCTAATCATTAACCCATGTTTGTATAATTTAGTTAACTCTGTGTGTTGCTGCTAGCATACATACACCCAATAACACCTGACGTGGAAACGTTACTCGTGGATGGGGCTACAGAGCTACTAGAAAGACAGTCGAACCCGGTGCATTTCTCCGTCTGAATGTGGTGCACTTTTGCTAAATGTTTTTGACAAATTGCTCGTGTTACCGCCCTTACATACTAAACTCTTATTGCACTTTTGTTAACGAGCATTGTCCACATCGACAAGGCTATAGTTTAACCACACCTCGGAGCGCGTTCTCTCCGCCATCTCCTCCGTGTGTGTGTGTGTTGCATGCATGTAGCAGCTGCGTGTGTGTAAACCGCCCCGCCCCCTCGCAAGCAGGCGGGGGAGAGAGATCTCTCGTCTGAATTGGGAAGATCGAAAATACATTATAGACGCATTTTGTAGTCATATTGCATATTAGAAACGGAGTTGGCGACACTAAGACTGCGATATAATGTTTATGTAGCAATAATACATATGACATGTTTTAAATGTCTCCTGTACCAATCAAAAAGAGCGATAACGTTGGAGCTTAACGGGGTGTAGAACACATGTGATGACGTCACCAACGAATCGACGACTGAATTAGTTGCCTACTAATTTGGTGATCGATTTTAATCGATTAAGTCGATTAGTTGTTGCACCCCTACTGATCACATAAAAGATGTATGGAAACATTGAAATCTAAATGTAGATTAAATGGAAATCTTACAACTGAAGCCACCTTTTGAAGCTGTTCGAGAGTTGGACCCTGAGTAGAAGGATTCATGCTTATGTCCCAAAGACTGGCTTCACCGCCTACATGGAAACAAAACGGGTTATTTAAGCACAATGAGGTAAAGACGTGTTGTTGTTTTGTGGACATTCAAAGCCAGTCTAAAGCGTACCTGACGGCTGTGAAGCTGAGGTATGCATGTCCCACATGGACCCTGTATCTGGCACTGACATCGACCTGTTCATCGAAGGCATCATACCCTGCTCACTGCACCTTGGACAAAATAATTGAAATCAAACACGGAAAGTCCAAAAGTCTAAATCCCCTTTGTAAAAGGAAAGAGACTAGGGCCCAAACACAAAATAAGGCTCAGACATGTAAAGGAATAGTTCCAACCACGCATTAACCTACCTATTAATGAGCTGGAATAGCTGCTGCTGTTGGAGCTGCTGATAGAGAGCTGCTGCTGCCGCCAGCTCCTGTTGCTTTTTCAGGCGGTCCTGGTCCAGATTCCCCTGAAAAAAACAGCGACCACCTGTCAATAACATGTATATTCTAACTCAATACACCACAACAGCTATCTAATACAAAATATGCTATAGCTAAGCAAGAACTACTTGGGGGGGAATTGTCAATTATTTAGTACCAAAGACTTCTAAATTACAAAAGGAACAAACATTAAGCGTGCATTTCCCCAACGTGATGCACAGACAGCTGCCACATGTATAGGCAATCAGGGGCCTGCGACAATGTAGCGTTACATTACAGCATTCAATGGAACCTGCCCTGTTCCACTAACTTGAAGCTTTCATGCACAGGGGGCAACATTATATCGTTTTATGACTGTTGTTTGAATACCACTTCCTCAAGAAGGTCATTCATTCATTAGCAGGAACACAAATTAAATGACATGTCTTCAAATCAAGCATGGGGGCAATTTCAGAAATCTCACGTTTGAATTGAATAAATAGTTGTTGTTTTTTACCGTAACCTGTCTATCAAGCTTCCCTCTCCTCTGCATCCTCCCCTCCCCATCCTCTACGTTGGCAGAGCTCTGACTCACAGTCCCGGCGGACCCCCGGGTGGGCTGCGGGCGCTGCGTCGGTGGTGGCTGTCTCACCAGCAGGGGCGGAGGGGAGGGCCCTGGGGCGAAGGGCACCCGGCCCCACATTTTGATGACATCTCCCAGGGGTTGGAAGCCCTCGTCGCAGCCACGCTTCACCAGCAGGGTCATGGTGAAGTAGCCGGCCTGGAACCACTCGCACATCTCCACCGTGGTGAAGGGACCTGGTTAGATTAAGATGAATGAGTTTACAATGCAAACAGTGCAATAACATAGCTTTTATCCATGAATTCATGTGTTATCCTTGCATGTACGAGTGAGTAGTATAATAATAATAATAATAATAAGTAGGGATGCTCTGATCAGGGTTTTTGGGGCCGATCACCGGAATCAGTATCGGCCGATACATAATATAATAAAGGGTGTGGGAGTGTACCCTGGATCTCTCCCTGTGGGTCCTTGTAGAACCACTTCATGGCGGCCTCGTGTGACAGCGGCAGAGCGGCGGCTGTGTTCCTGCACTCCTGCTGCTGCTGCAGAGCCTGGGTGAAGCACTCCTCCTCCAGAGAAGTGTCCTGCAGTGACGCCACCATCTTCTCTGCCTCCTACACACACACACACACACACACACACACACGTTATTCCACATCAAAATATTCATACAGAGAATGTCAATACTCTTAAGAGCAAACCCAAGACTCTCCTTTTAAATGTATTGTATTTATGTTTTTTTCAGTCCTGTGTTTGAAAATAATGTTGTTGGGTTAGTGAAGCACTTAGTGTTAGCTCTTATGTATAAAACATGCTTTATAAATAGTTGATCTGATTTGATTTACAAGTAGGCTTTGGTTTAGATGGAGATTGATTACTTTTTGGAAAAATAATCCCTGGTTAAATGATTGAAATGTAATTCCTGTAACAATTGAGACAGTTATTACGCATTAAGTGTTCATTGAGAGAATATCAATACTTTTAAGTGCCTATTCAAGATCTCTTCATTTTAAATGTGGCTTTTAAAGTATTTGATGTATTCTTGATTTCTTTCAGTCCAGTGTTGTTTTGGTTTAGATTGAATGGAGCTACAAGTGCTTTCTGTTTCACTTGAGACAGCTGCATGAAATGTGCCTCCTGTTGTTCCTACCTGCTGCAGGTGCTTCATGCCCTCATCGTCCTCTGCGTCCCCTCCAGGTGGAGGGTGGAGAGGAGCAGCAGAGGAAGGAGGTGGAGGAGGCATACGTGAGGAAGGGGGGGCGCTGGGGCTCAGCTGGCTCTTAGAGACCCCTACAGGAGCCATGTCTGATACAAAAAACACAAAAACATTAGTAAAACAATGGGCTCTATTTTTAGAGTTTCTATATATGAGGTGGTGATGTTGGGTTGAGGCGGGTAGAGCCACCAACTGGCTCTGTGCGAGACAGCAGCAGCGGGTTTAGTAAACAAGATATTAAATGACCTCACATATTGTATATCAAACTCAAAATATCAACGCGGCAATAGTTCCACACACTTACGGTGCATGACTAAGAGCTTGGCTGAATCCAAGAAGCCAAAAGCTCTACAGTTACAGGATTAGACCCTTAACACTTCAATTTTGTTATTCAAGATACAAGTTTGAATGTGACAAACACTGATGACTTAAGTTTGCCTAGTCGGTATTCAAACTCATTGCTCAATAAAAAGCTGGAAGAATCTGATAATAAAGTCAAAAGATCCATACTGGATATTCATATTGAGTTTGACCTTGTTCCATAATTCATTTCCTACTTTCTTTAGATTTGATACCATTAGTACATTTCATATCATACTAACAAACTTCTCATACTATTTATTTTCTCCACATGTTCTTGTCCAACTTCACACTCATAATTCACATGGTTTAACTGCAATACATACATATCAATATACATATATTTTTGGAAAAAAACATGAATTGCCTTCATAATTAGAAAATAATAGGTACCTAAGAGAGCTGCTAACTGAATCCATCTGTCTGTTGCTTCTGACGTGAAATAGGGGGTACCTTCACTGGCCGCGCTGCTGGCTTTCACAGGGTGGCTGTTGTTCAGCTGAGCATTGTCCACCAACAGGCCTGCGTTGCTGGGCCGATGGTCCACAGAGGGGGGGGTACAGTGTTGCAGTGCTGGAGGAGAGGACGAGGGTGAAGCTGGCTTTGTCTCGCCGTCCCTTACAGCAGAGCCAGCTTCTTTACTCTCTGTAAGGGGAGAGCGGAGGAAAGAAAGAAAGGAAAGCCTTAAGCAAGATGCCACAATCATCAGTTATGAATTCCTCCTGGGCTTCTGAACGAATAGGAAAAGCCTTATGAACAAATCATTTTTCAATGAACAATGCAATAATAAAGCTGGCAAGGGAACGATTCCAAAAACATTATAAAATCATCAAATAAAAAGGTTTTTCCTCACCCTTGTCTTCTTCAGCACTGTTCCTCTCCATGTCAGCGTAGAACTCCTCGTCTTCCTCGTCCTCTATCCCCTTAAAATCAAACTCCTCCTCCAGGATTATGTCCTTGTCACCCTTCTGACACAAAGGAAGAGACAATTAAAGAGTGTACCAAATACTCATTGACATTCAATGAGAGCTGACAGTAAAATAAATAAATATCATAAAACAAAAAACTTGACTTTGTTTGAAGAGAACGTTCTTAAGAATAATTAAATGTACACACCTTCAAAGCCATGAAAGCTCCAGAGGAGTCAAACGTGCCCATCTCCCCGTCTTCCTCGTCTGTGCACCACTCAGGCAGGCCGTCTCCGTCGTCCAGTCCCTCACGCCGGCGGCCACCACCATGGCCATCCGCGTCCCTGAAATCAAAATCAAACTTCCGACGACGACCCTCGCCGGGACCGGTGTGTTCCCGCCAGCCTGCTGAGCGAGGACCCCCATCTGACAGAGAAATGGACAGCCATCAGTGAGGATAGGGTCTCATAACCTCCGAAACTGCGGTTGTCTTAAAGTGCAGCTCCCTTTTAGCAACACTCCACTTTGTCTGGTAGAAATCCCTTCACTGCCACTAGATGTCACTATATCTACTGTTTCAGCTGAACACATCATCACAACTGAGCTCTGATAGCCTGGAGTAAGAACTACTAGAATTGATTATCTTCTACTTAGGCCATTTTAATACGCAAGTGAGAAGCAAAGGTTGTGATTACACTGATTTAAAAAGCCATTTCTACACATTTCATTTCTTAAAGCCACAGGCCTTTTTACCACGACATCTGATAAGGTGTTCGACACTAAGTGGCCATGTATGAATACTATCAAATCGAAGTTCTGTGGAATGCACGTCATGCATTCTAAAAGGAAAAGGACTGATGAGGTGTTTCTCCTGTGTATAGCTTTCATTTTTTAACACAAACGAGTTTACGGCGGCGGGACAATGAATAAAAGCATGTTTGTTTTCATCCTACCATCCCTGCGGACTCCTGCAAGTCTCCAGTTGGTTCCCGGTTCCACCACCACCACCCCCCCTCCTGCCGCCGCCGCCGCCTCCTCCTCCTCCTGCTGCTCCTCTCGGAGGATGCGCCAGTTATCGCTGTCAGCCCTCGTGAATTCCTTCCGTCCTGGAACCACAGGCACTACAGGCTCTTCAAAGCCGGGACGCCCGACCTCCCGCCGGACCGGCTTCTCAAATCTACGCTCAGCCCTGAGAAAAGAAGGGAACATTTGAGAAATAAGTGATACAAAAAAATAGGAAAAATGAGCCCAAAGCATAAAGTCGGTTTTATCTGGGAGTACGGGAGTAACAAACATATTGTAGTTCAGCCTATCCAGATAAAAGAAGATACCTAGGTCAATTATACAACATGAGAAAAATTGTAATACAAATATCAGAGAGGATTTTATATTTCCTTCTAGTTTATTATGTCTTCTCTCAGCCTTGAAAGCAAATGCCTTTATTTTGGCCCTAAGAAATGTAATCCATGATTTATTTGACATTCAATTAGTGAGTTTTTCTTACCGGTCATCCCAGCTCTGGCTGCGATGAATCTCTCGGACGCCGCGTCCAAAACCCACCTCCGGTTCTTCAATACTTCTTTGGTAAAATCCACCTTCACCGCGACCTCGTCCTGATGAAGTACACACGGAGCAGAAGGTGTTGGTATTTAATATCATCATCATCTGAATGAAAGAGCTTGAGATTGGCTAATACGTCTTTTTCTGTTAAATAAACCTCATATATCTTATTTTTAACACTTTTATAATTTATTTTACTGAAATATGATTAGCTTATATCTTCTTTAAGAGCTGCAGACAAACAATGAAACCGGCACAGCATCCTTCTTCCAAGTTGTTTCCTTGGCTGTCCTGCACCGGATGGTAAGTGTTTACATTGGCCATTCATATGTGCAGAGTGCTCTGTGTGCACAAGGTGAGTTTGTAAGCCAAGTGGTTTTAGACAGGTGTGGCTGGACAAAAGGAGGACTATTTAGACAGGCCAAGAGGAAGTGTGCTGCACCAAGATGGTGGAAGAAAAAAGGGAAATAAACACTCCAGTGGTTGGCTTGAATAAACTGTTATACTTTCTCTGGATAACAGCCATTGTAGTTCCGGCCAAGCTTTCTTTGGGCAGCGTTTTTGTTTCTGTTGGACTCGTGTTAGTTTCAGCACAAGTGGTTGTGGAGTCTGTATGCATGCACTTAGGCTGAACCAATGCTCTACTTTATTTGTTGCTCTCTCTTCTAATGGGTGTCTGGGAGTTTTGTTTTGCCGTTACCTCGACCACCTCGCGCGGTCCCTCGTCCTCGGACCACTCCAGCTGGGGCTGTGGCGCCCACCCCTTTTCCCATGAGCCTTAGCACCGCCACACTGTTCACAGACATAGAGAAGTTCCTCTGCCGAGAGAGAGAATGGAAAGAGCAAAAGGCAAGAATGTGAGGAATGCGAGTTTGCAGCTGCATTTGTAACAACAGCACCACTCGTTTTGAAAACTCAGATCATATCGCGATGAGATATCACATGAAAAGCAGGAACAGTTTGACATGTGCAGGTATCAGTGTATTTGAGGATATGTGTTAATTGCAGACCTGCTCCTCCTCAGTGAGAGGCACCAGTGCCAGTGGCTGCATGGGCTCATCTTGCAGAATAGCAGCAAACTCCTTATCCTGCATATCCTCTGGGACCTGCAACAACAACCATAGGTACGGACGTTGACATTACTATCTTTCAAAACTTTTGGCCTGACTTAGAAAAACAACTGTCTGATACAGGTTTGGTTTTTTTAAGCTAGGGAAATGGGATTTAAAAGAGAAAATCATGCTTGTGTTTTAGCACCATTAACTTTGACAACATTACTAAACGTCTTCTTCACTGATTCGAACAGAGAAACTTTTCCCACTCACCTTGTTGTCTTTGATATAAAGTGCTAACATCTCCTCTCGGCCGTAGCGATACTCGGCCAGCTTGTACTTTGGCATGGCGGGGGAAGGAGGGGGGGACGTCACACTCCCCCCACTGGACAGTGCACGAAGCCTGCGTGAGAAAAAGTACAGGAATCATGAGGAATTAGGATAATGTCTGAATGTTCAACAGACCATCAAGACTTCTCAGTGTTGCAATTGAAATGTCAGACGTTTTAACATGTATACTTTTAAACAGTATTTCAGTGTCAGTGTTTCAACAGGAGATTACTAACTGAACTTTAAAGCTACATATTGGCATTTTTCATTGTTCCTGCCTACTGACTGGAGCTGACATACAATGTAGGAAAATCACTTGTAAATAACTTAGTGTAAAGTCCACTGTTGGCAGAGAAGAATTGCAGCTATTGTGCAAGCGGGATATAATTCCTTTTAATCTGTACTGAAGAAAAAGATCTAAAAATATTTCTCTAAATGCTTCGCGAGCCAACCATCCTCTCACGCGGGTCCCTCTGAATACACTTGGCTCAACGCAGATGATATATTAGCTTTTCCAATCTCAAACTTTCATTTTAAAAAGCTATTACTAGCGGGCCAGGTTCCAAGGTCTGCTGTTCAACAATGGCTTCATTCACATGCTTCTACAGAACGTGTCATTGACTCCGCATCAAAACCACATGGAACTCTGGGAGGTGTGGGATGCAAGAGGTAAAAGGAAGGCAACGTGAAAGACAAGTTGGCAGCATGTGGCATTTCAGGGTCAAAATGGTGTTGCTGCTACTAATATGAATAATAAAATGGTGAGCTAAGGAAACATTCCAGTGATACACTAAGCAATACTTCAAACAGGACGGAGAAAGAAATCTTAAAGATCTTCCACCTCTCATATCTAGACGTACATAATCCTCTGAGTCTTATAGAGCAAAGGTCAGTCCAACAACTGTTACATGAATCTAAATGCAAGGCAGAATGTTTTCACTTTGAAGTCTAACACAATGCCCAACATGCTCGACAGCTCTTCGGCCAGCCAAACCTCAAATGATCTAAATAATTTTGAAACGCTAACAGGCATTAAAGGAATTGTAAACATGCAGCCACACAGCTGGCTGTGAGCACATACATCGGCCACTGCTTAGATTTATTCAAGAGGTGCGAGTATAAAAGTAGGGCTAGAAGGGCCACTGAGAGGAAAGCAGCTGCAGATGTGTTAAGAGAGAAATATTCTGCGAAGCTGGCACAGAGTCAAGAATGCACACAGCAGTCACAGGCTTTTAGATATTGAGTGCTACCAAACTGAAGACTACACCCCCTCTTAAGCACAACACAAGCGTCCACTGAAGGATGAGGTGGAGAATCAGAGATGGAAAGGACAACACTTCCTATATTGGCCCTCTTCAGACCAAACATGTGCTTTTGTTATCCAATCACAAGTGGACAGCTCTCTTGAAAATAGGCTGCGTCACTTGGACCCATCGATAGCGAGTTAACTGAATAAATAATCACTTTGCTGTTGGTGCATCCACCTCTTTCTTTCTCTTATGTGCCAAACACTCACTCTGCACATTCATCTGTACTCAGAGCTGCCTACTTCTACAGAGCTGATCACAAAAGATGCATATTCAATACCAGGAGTGAACAGGGCCTTTGATCTAAAGTGAAAACTGCTTTCCAACAGTTAGAGATGGCATGATAAAACAGTCTGTGTGAAAGTTGTAACTATCAACTACTTTCATCATCAATTTATCTGCCTTCTATTTTTTGGTTTCTTGTTTTATGAAGTGCAAGAAAAAGTGGAAAATAAAAATGTTCAGAGCCCAAGGTTAGGTGTTCAAATAGCTCCCTTTGTCCGAACAAAAGCCCAAAACCAAAAGATATTTTGTTAAGCATCATATGAAAACAGAAAAGCTGGAACTAGCTATTATTCGCATTTTTACATGAAAATGACTCGATCGTCAAAATAATTACAGCGAAGCTTGGCAAAAGTCAAAGGACTCCTAATTTGCAACATGAAAAGGCATCTAAAAAAAGAAGGCCAGGTTATCAACTATGCAGCAGAGTATTCTCCTGGCATTTAAGATCATCTCTCCACGTGGGTGTATTGCCGTTGCATTTAACATTAAGACATGACCATTTTTATATCAAGATTCCTTTTAAACAACACAGACTAAAGCATGAATAATATTCACAATTACGTTGCTTTGAACACCTACAGTTTAATCACTGAGTAAAATATCTGCTCATTACGGGTGATAAGGTCAAAAGCTCCACAACCACTCACTCTGTCAAATCATAACACATTAAACATTCATTAAATCTTGTTGTCAAAGAGCTGTTTAATCTTCATAAGAGCATTTATTCTTTTCAGGAGATACTTTACTTTATTCAGGGTTCATACACTTTTCCACGACCTTTACCTAATTTTTCATGACCAAAAAAATGTGTCTTTCTCAGCGGTACCACTGAAAATTGTTTATTTTAACATGGAACAGGAAAATAAGGTCTGCATATGAAACATGTTGTGGCTACAGTATCTAAAACAAATCAAGTAGACTTACTAGCTTCTACAGGCTAAAGCAACTCAAATCTCTCACCAGCAAAATACCTCGACAGTTAAATGCATTTTTACGTTTTATTATTATACGATACAGTATTTATTATCATTATAGTATTACTATTTCGGCGGTTAGATCAAATCTAAATTATATTTGATGCAACTTTAGTTACATTTCCATGACTTTGAGAAAAAATTTGTTTTCCATAACTTTTCCAGGGCCTGGAATTTGAATTTTGAATTTCCATGACTTTTCCAGGTTTTTAAGGACAGTAAGAACCCTGTTTATTAGTCAGTAGTATTTTAATGTAAAGAAATAAGATTGGTTACCATTCTGGGCCGAAGTTAAGAGTCTCAGCAGTCATATTCCTCACGTCCACACAGAACTGAGTATCTGAGGAGAAAAAGGTTCATGTTTTATTTCTTGTAGCAACTGTAAAGTCAAAAGGAGTAAAAGTGAGTGAAGATGTCTTACCCTGTCCAGATGATCGGAGCAGGCTGGACTGTACTGGACCAGGCTAGAGCTGGCTGGCTTTAGTTAGGCTTAGGTGACTAAAAGGCTGAGTGGTGCTTAAGCTGTGGTCACAGAGCTCCCCAAACACACAGACACAAAGAGAATAGCTGCCAGTTGCAGGTGCTTGAGGAATACCAGGTTATCAGGTCCTAACTAGATAAGGAAGGGGGTTCGACTATAGTTTGGAGAGTGGAATCTCCTGCTACTCACAGCCGAAGAAATGGTAGGTAAACAAAGAAAATAAACGAAAAACACCTTGGAAATGAACAATGGAACAAAATAAAACACTCTTGCTAGTAATAATGTTTTCTTTCTTCTTTTTACAGCAGTTATAGCTCACATTAAAGTTAAAAATATGAGTTGATTCATCAAAAAAGGTAACGCAGGAACGAAATAAAAGCCACAACACTGAAACAGGCTGCTGGAACAGCTGCCAAGAGCAGACGCGACTCGCACTCCTCTTTGCTTTTCTCTCTCCCTCCGTCCCTTTTTCTCTCTCGCTCCAACTGAAATGTTGATTGACGGAGACCCTCCAGGTGACTCCTTTATTTCCTGTCCTCCTCCCTTAGCACCACTGAAAAGTAAGCAGAGTTGGAGAGGGGGGGAAATCAAATGATTAAAAAACAGATGGAAAGGATCATGTTAGAAGTGTACACTTAAAAAATGTGCCGTTGGAGGGATGTACTTTCACAGATTGTCCGTCTGCCTATAATGTGATAGGAAAGGAAGTGTAATTTGATTTCTAGACACACTATTTTCACAGCATGCCCTGGAGTTACTGAAAAGGTACTAGCCTGTTTTAATCAATTTGCACATGGCACTCTGAGCTGGGAGAAAAACATTGTGGTATTTTGACACTGAATGCATGAAACCAGCTAGCTGTAGTGCTCAATCATGGCCCCTTGTTGAGCTTCTCACAGGAGATTTTCCATCCAGAAATCTAGGGAGTATATTCAGGTAACCAGGCTGCTTTTAAAAGTATGCAGCTGTTTGTAAAGTCATGGAAACTACACCAAAACCAAGGCAACAAAATGTCACAATAGTAAATGCTCATATATTATACTGTCCTTATGACATGAAAAATCCTAACATTTAAATAACTTCTTTGTCGTTATTTTTATGATTCACGAGTAAGGAACATCACTTTTATTGAAACAAGTTATAAGATGAAAAACTGGGTATTACAGAAGGAGATATACCTGCCTGGCTATTACCTTAAATCAAAAGTTATACTAACACTTATGAATGTATTTTACTACTTTTTAATATCATAAAGGTTGTGTTAGTTATCACATTTAGCCTGAAGCGCTGCCCTCTTATACCAATTCCATCAGGCGAACACTCAACTAGCTAAACACTTCTGTATATGAAATAACTTTGTGTACAACGATGTGACACTATAAATCTCTATTACTTATACGGTTATACAAAATCACTTTTCAGACCGCAGGAAGTTCGTCCAGAACTAGGACGCTATCAGGAACTATTGCAGGGACCCGGGTCTAAATTAAGTTCTTTTCACATTATTTTACCCCCCAAAACTCCATGGTCGGGGGTAGTACGTTTAGATGTAAATGGAATGAAATACCGTTATCCAAGTATTGATAGTAGATTTTTTTTTTCTAGATCACCTATCTCCACAGCAAGTCTTAGTCATTGGCACTGGCACAGTAAAAGCCTCTAAGGGTCTGTAGTTCGTTTATAAAAAAATGAAGCGCTGCTCATGCAATCTTTTTTACTTCAGTGTAAAATACTTTGACATATATATGACGTGGAAAAACAAGCTTTTGTTACAAATGTGGCACTACTCTTTGCAGTTGGATAACACTAAGAAGAACATGATTGCAGTAGGTTCTTTAACAGTTTACCATCTAAGCAATTCATGGGACATTAAATAACAAAATTAACAATAATTAAAAATACACATTAAGACAACAGAGAATAGTAACTTGAAAGCTGACAGGTTAAACTTCCAGTGTGGCCGTAAATTATTAAATTATATTGTGTGTTATTTTGCCCAAGATGATGTTGGCCCTCTGTATGTATGAACTGAAGAGTAACATTCTATAGAAACATAATTTGTAAACCGAGATAAAAGCCCTCTTTTGAAAATAGGAACCTTGGATTTCCCCTCTGGTTGCATCAACTGTTTGATCAAATCCTTTGGGCTACTGTGGAAATATTTGATATTGGTAATCATACTTAAAGTAATGTTAGAGAAATTCAGTGTGGATCGTGACTTAAAATACATGCAAATAACACTTATGTATCAGTTAAAGGCACGGAACATGCAATCATTAAATGAGTTTTATTTATGGCACTCGATGCATTACCGCAACAATTAAGAATGTATCATTTTGCCAAAGCATCCGTAGACCGCCTTATGACTTCGAACTATTTCATAAATAAACTTTCGACTTCAGGCCACAACAGGCACTTTAGGACATATTTAAGAATCTACTTTTTGATGAGAAAGCTGAAGTAAGGTGACACAGGAATAACTGCTTGCAGAACATAACATTTCTATTGCATTTAGATATTTACAACGGTTGTGCACTTAGAAATGTGGCGGGATAACAATGGCAAGCTGCTAAAATATAGACTAAAACTCTATGCTGAGGCTTCACATCAATGTTTACCAGTTTTTTTACTTTAACAAACTTTACAGTATTTCATTGTTTGGTCGTAAAGATGGCTAACATATTGACAAAATAGCTCGCGTTGACGTAAGCTAGCTTCAGCGAGCTACATTAGCTTTAAAATAGTTCCGTCTTTGAAGCCAATTAGCCTTACAGCATATCGACTTGTGGATAAAGAGGAACACTTTTATCGTTCCAACAATATTTGCAACCAAACGTATCCTATTTGTATTGCAAACCAGAGACGGGTTAGCTGGTTTGCTACCTAAACTAGCATACGGTTCGCGTTGATCTTAAAGGCCTTGTAGGTTCAAATGACACCAGATATTATGGCGGAGGGGGCGGAGTGTTGGGATCGGACTCCCCGGCCTTCTCCGCCAATGTGCGGACGACCACCTCCACTCCGCTCTCGGTGTGAAGCTACGGCTAATGCGACGTAAACAACACACACTGACAGAAACAACAACCGTAAAATAACTTGGTGCAAAAGCTTTTCTCTCACAACAGATAAATCCAAACCATCCGAGTTGCAAGAGCTGAGGTTAGCGTGTTAGCCAATGTTAGCCAGCTAGCTAAAAGACAAGCTTCAAAGAGGAACCATGGCTTACCTTCACTGTTTATAGCTAACGTTACCAGACTGGTTGTCGGTACGGTGTGTCTACTGCCAATATCTCGTATGCATTGGTCTCTTAAACACTGTAAACGTATTCATTCGACAGAATCGTACTTTCAGAAAGTCGTGCTCTGTATTTTATTTATTATTTTCCCCCTCTCCTCCAACGGTCGCTGCTGCGTATCAGTATGTGTCTGCTGGCTCCTAGTCGCTGCTCTTCTTGTTGTTTGTGTTTCGGAAACATGGCCGTCCTTGTGATACCACGTGACTGCACATTGACAAGCGGCTAACCAATGTTGTAGCAGGGCAAACACACCCCTGTTTATCAGCCTGGACACCGACGTGTACTGCACTTTGCAACTGTATTTTTCAAATACAGTGTCTCAGATAAAGGTGTTTTTAATTTGCCGTTTGCCGCTGCGAGGACAACTTTAGCATAACATTGTATTTTTGGCATAACTCAGAAACAGCCAGCTCAATAATACACATTCGCGTGGTAGAATAACTACATTAACTCCTGTAAAAGTTGTTTCGCACACGTTGTAATCAAAAGCAGTATTCTTGAAATGCATAAGGAGATATTTTTTAGGTATTCGCTATCAATACCCTTGAAAATGTACTGAATCACTAGCAGAGCTTGTTGACTAGCAATGCTAAACTGAGCATGCGCGAGACTTTTGCCAACGGCAATATAGGGTTTAGTCAGCAGAGGGCGCTCTGTACACAGCATGATAGCTGGTACAACTGAATGGAAAATATAAAAGAAAGTTGTGAAAATTATATCAAATAAAACCTTCAATATTGTATGTGAATATCATCTGGTGATATGCAATTGGAAATTATAAAAAAAAGAATTGTAAAACCATGAATCATTATCCACTTAATGTTACTATAGCTCATATATCCTAAAGAAATCTGAGTAACAGCTAATCAGCCTACATTAAGTAAACCTGTTGTATATTCATTTTTAAAATACTTACGTTTCTGCACACGCTTGCTTTATCAAATTGCAACTTTACATGTCACTAATGTCTCACAGACTTAAAGTATTTTACTTTGCTATTAATTATATCTGAGATGAAAACACAATATCGTATCAAGAGGAACAATATGTGTACCTGGTCAGATGTGCAGTGTATAATACCTGGGTGTTGATTCATGACATAAACTAGAATTGGTACACAGCCCGACAGAAGCATGTGCAGAGATGCATGGCTGCAAAGACTTTAGGAGCAGATAAGTCCACTGTCTAACCAATGGATTCACTCTAAGCTACTGCTGCTTTGCATACTGAGTGTCTGTCCAAAAGCCATTACACTTTACTAGATTATGACTGCAACACCAATACAGGATGACATACTATCAGAATAGTTCAAACCCCATGGAATTTCTTCATTCTTAAAAAGGTGCGTTACAGGACATGTCAAACTCACGATGGATGAGGAAAATACCACGTTTTCTGTTGTTTTCATTTAGTGCAGATGTGTGATGATGCATCTGGTTGGCACCTGCGTCCTAAGCTTCTCCCTGCTGATGGCGTCCCCCCTGGTGAGTGCCACTGTGTCCAAAAGCTTCAAAGACTGCAGCCACTTTTTCTACATGCAGTCACCGCCTGCAGGGATAAAGGGAACCAACCTGAGGAGGGTCTGCCAGAAGTATGCAGACAAACTGCGCTATTCCACGTTGTATGACAGCAGTCACCACCTCCCCCTCTATTCAGCATACATCTTTAAGAAGTCAGATGGGAAGAGGAGGATGGACACGCCATGGATGTATGAACCACAGGTAGAGACTAGTTTGTTTTATATGTCCCTTAAGCCTGAAATACCTGAATGTTATTTGGGCAATAATGACTCATCTCAGGATAGTCTAATCCCTGTACAATACCTTTGCAGGAAGATCAGTCAGTATTGTTGTTATTAGAGACAAAACAAACAAACAAAAAAGGTTTGCAAATGAACAGAAAATGTCTAATACAGGGATACGCTTTTTTATTTTCCAATTAAAGGGGCAGAATGTAGTAAAGAAGACTAAGCCTTCGTGCCAGACGAATACACAGCAATTGCTAACTGGTTAAAAGCCCTTTCAATCACAAAAGCAAGTCCCCAAACACACATTAAAGGAATAGTTACAGATAAAGGACTTTTTTGGAACATATGCTCAATAGAGAGAGTTTGATAAGAACATTGATATTAAACGTATTGTGTACTATGTAGAGTATTATTCTGAAGCCAGCTGATGGTTAGTAAGCTTAGTAAAAACAGAGAGTCAGCCTACCGGTACAAAAACACTATTGGCCTTACAAACATCAAACTGACTGTTGGAAAGAACGTGAACAGGCACATCTCCCACAACTACTCCTTTAAGCTTTTAAACCATTCATTGGATTATTATTGTTTTAGCAGTTTGTTACACCAACCACTCATAACTGGCATAAGTCCCCTGGCTTTTGGATTAGCATCACTTTCAAAATACTAACCACAATTATTTAATTTGTTAAATTCAAAGGCTCTATTGTCAAATGCACAGTAGCTACAGTGTAGATATGGCAATGAATAATGTAAGTCCCAGTCCCCTCCAACAATGCAACATAATACATAAAACAAATACAAGAAATAAAACCAATAACAAATCTTATCTCTTCAGTTGGTTTCTGATGATGACAGTGGCAACATGAGAGCCATTCCCCTCACTGAAGACACCCCCCCTCTGATTGAGGACAGCCAGGCCGTGTTGGAGGACTACACAGACGCTGTAGAATACAGACGGGGCCCGCTGAATCCTGACCTGCACCAATCAGAGCCAGACGACAAATCCTCCACATATACTCTCACCAATGTAGTCCCATTACTCACAAACCTCCTGGACGCTTTCTGGAACCCATACTTGGACATTATCCGCCGCCGCCTCAACAACTTCTGCCACGGCAAATCATTCATAGTGACAGGGGTGACTCTTTCTGGAGGGACCCTCCAACGAGATAACAGGGACCGCTTGGGAATCCCCAAATACTTATGGTTGGCTTACTGCTGCCCGAAGTTTGACCGTAACTCTCCGTATGAGGTGAGGTTCATGTTCCCTAGTTATGGGGGCTATGCACTGAATGAGCAGACTGACCACAGTGTGGTGGAGGTCCCTCTGAAGACTCTGGAGAGCTTCCTGAAGAGCCACACAGACAATGACCTGAACATTTTCTACAAGGGCTGTGTGTCAGAAAACACCTTTAAGAAGAAGAGAGACTTGACCAGTGTTTCAGTGTGATGGGACATCTTGAACTAGATGTAATTGATTGTCTACCTACTAGGACTAACTCAAACAAACCTATTAGAAGCAGTGTTAAGAAGTCCTGCCTTTACATGTTTACTGAATAAGAAGACTAATCAAACCTAAGCAGCAGAGCCTGTTGTATCCTGTATTCACAGTCTAGTATCAGCACAATCCTAATAGCTCTTAATCCTATAAAAGTCCTTTTACTGTTTAAGTGGCAGTGCCATGCATCAATATTTAGGTAGGCCTTGTATTAACCAATACTGTTGATGAAAAGTAAATATCTCTCTAATATACTGTATGTGAGGTATAGGGTGATGAGTGATGGAAATATGTTGGACAAGTTAGGATTCCACTTTGTAAAATGACATTACATACAGGCATTATCTCCACCATGGATACTTTTTTTCTAACTTCTCTTAAGTTGTACATACTAATAACTTCTGAAATTGTTCACGGCCAATCACATCTGCGAAAAAAACATGTGTGTAAAATAAATGAATAAAGCAACTGTTTTGTTATGTGCCTTATATGCGTTTCAGAGTGAATCTGTAGTGTTGCTTATTTAAACTTAATTGAATGTCCCCCATCCCCTATTCTGTAGTGAAATCAATCAGTAATCTGTACAATTATGTCTCACTAATGTGTTTCTCTGGATGTTTTTTAAGTGAAATTGCACGTTGTAGTTTTTGGGGAAGAATTCATTTCAAATGTATTGTCTAAAACATTTGATAACTCCAGGCAAAGGGGATAAGAACCGTTTGTAAAAAGACAATTACTGTACATCCGTCTGTAAGCAATTTAACAGCTGCTACATAAGGGCTTCGCTGAATAAGATGTGCTGTTTAGTCAAGTGCTATATGGGGCCAACGCCAAGCCAAACACCAGATAGGAAAAATCTGATATTTTTTTATTGGCTGTCTACTGAAGCGGTCCCCCTAGCTGTGGGTGGACCATGCTCAAGTGAATTGTTTTGCATATTGAGCTCTGATTACAGAGTGTAAAACCTGTTAGCTGTTTTAATGAGCTCCATGGACAGCCATAGACGCACATTCAGTACTCTGAGCAGCTCACATTTCACACGCTTGAGTGACAAAACGTCTTGACTATGGCATTTTGGGTGCAGACTTTCCTGTTAGTCAACCTAATAACATCAGCGGTAAGAGGGAGAGTGGAAAAGGAGCTGTCTTCAGAATGCAGACAATTCCTTTACATGCAAACACCACCGACTGGTCTGGAACACCCCTCCCTCAGGTTCATTTGTCAGCGTTTCAACAAGAGGACACGCTACCTGACGCTGTACAACACCGTGGATCATGTACCTGTGTATTCTGCGTACACTTTCAAACGATCAGCTGGGGACAAATGCGTGGATGTCCCATGGATGTATGAACCACAGGTAAGGGACAAATAAGGAATGCACATTAGTTGCTTTGAGATGTTTCAACCTGAACAGCATGCTTTAATATTTACAAATTAAAAAAAAGAAATTCATGCAGATCACATTCTGTCCTCTCATTTGCTCTATCTGTCCACACAGCTCTCCACGTATTCTGATACAGATGAGATGCAGCCATTCCCACGTGGTTACATGCACATGGACTTCGAAGATGCCCAAGCAGTCCTGGACGATTACACAAACGCCGTACTGTATGAGCGTGGCACCCTCAACCCAGAAGAGCATCAGGACGAACCAGATGACAAGGCATCCACCTACACCCTCACCAATGTCGTGCCCATGACGCCCGACTTCAACAACAGAGTCTGGAACAAACAGGAGAACATCATCCGCAAACGGCTCAACAACTACTGCCGCGGAACCGCCTACATCGTCACCGGTATCACCACCTCTGGGAAGATGATTCGCCGGGAGAACATGAACCGCGTGGCAGTGCCCAGGTACATTTGGTCGGCGTATTGCTGCATTGACTACGACCACAATGCACCCTCCAGCGAGCGATATAAGTTCCCATCTTTCGCTCACTACGGCCTGAATGAGGAGGAGGACAACAACAACGAGGTGGTGGAAATCTCCGTCCAGCAGCTGAAGGAGTTCCTGAAGAAGACAACCTTTGTAGAACAGAACTTTCGGATCTTTGTGGGTGACTGTGTGTCCCCAGGGTCCAGTAAAAATAAATAGGCAAAAAATATAGCTTTAAAGGCCTGCAATTTAGCCATAACACTCTGGGTCATGTTCTGTCATCTCTTCCTTGCACAGTGGCACACTAAAAATGGCTCTGTTAGCAGTTGAATGGAATTTAGTTATTATTCAGCAATTCTATAATTTAAACCTGGTCCTTTCCTGCTGTGTAACTTCAACATTTTTTCTGTGACAATAGTCTATGGTCCTTCATATAATCCAGCTCAACATTTTATGTTTTACCACTGGCAACAATACATACTAAAGACTGAAATGTTTAGTAGTGCTCTTACTGTATTTTATCTCACGAAAATGTACCCGCCTTGCCTTATTTGCTGAAATAAACCTTTACAACCTTTAACTAAAATGTCGTTGAATCATTTCTGTGATATTTAATTTCACAGTAACAATAACAGCAGCAAGATAACTAGAATACAAACTAGACTACATTTGACAAACCTTCTCATGGGGTCTCTGCTGTTGTTGTTCTGGGACATTTACAGACTTTAGATCGTCTGTACTGGAATAAAAAGGGTACATTTAGAGGCCACAGATGAAACAGAAGGCTGCTTTGCATTGTTTCAAGAAACTAGTAAAAGGTCCTTTTCTAATCTGACACATACATAGACTGACCTAACAATACATTTCGTTTTTTCCAATCCTGAATTTGTTCTTCATTCTACCCTCTGTCTCAACAGAGAAAAACAAAAAAAACAAGCTTGAAAAGGCAAAAAGTCACATCTAAAGCCTTTTGTGGACAACTTAAGTAAAAGGTCTTAATTTAGGTTTAATCAGGCTTGCATAATTCTTTCCTCTGCAGGTCTCAGTTATAAAATGCTCTCCTGGATTGATAACATTCACTCCTTTTGGATTACTGCTACGACACTTGTGCAACTTTGAATATATGTAAAATACTATATGGGAGAGCAGTTTGCTCCGAGAACAAATGAGGCTGGGAGATGTTGACGTGGTTTAGAGAGCGTCTGTACTTGTCAGACAGAAGTGGATTTACAGTGGAGAAAGAGATATTCGATCAGACATAAAGAGGTCTAAAAGGACATATTAGTAGTTTGTGAGATTGAGGGAAAAGAGAGCTTCTGTGATGACACCTGCGTCAGCAAAGCGGGCCTTACCTCTGCCAGCTGTTGTGGCCGTGCTGACTTGTGTGTGGCTCCCGGGGGTCCAGGCAGGAGTGGTGGGGGACTTCAACCATGTGGAGCGCTGTAAGGACTCCCTCTACATGGGCACTCCACCCAGAGGCTACCTCAGCACCTCCTTTACGAAGATCTGCCAGAGGTACGAGGATAAACCCCGCTTTGTCACCCTGTACGACTCCCAAAGACACATTCCAATGTATTCTGCATATACATTCAAGAAGTCTGATGGGGAGAAGAAGGTGGACTTCCCGTGGATGTTTGAGCCCCAGGTGAGTGTTTTTTCAAGCAAACATTTCGATTTTCTATCAGTCTGAGTCAATCTTATTCTATCGTAGATGCAGAATACTATATCAATTGGATTGTGCCATGTTGTAGTTAATGAACACTATTTGTATACATTTATCTAGTCTTACATTATGTGTAAAGACAAATACCCCATATATTCACCCCTAACAAGCAGTTAAGAAAGCTAAGGGAACTATACACTGGTTGCTACTGGCAACAGTAAAGCCTGAGATAAGCTACTTTATTGGCTGAATGATATTTCAATAAGATAGTGCTGCCTCAACCATTTCTGCTCTGGTACATAGTTATGCAAATCATTTGTGTGACTTGTCTGGATGTAACACAGTCTCTGAATGAGGATTACACGTTTATTTCTCACTATAACGTTTTAGAAGCAACTACTGTACATTGTCAGCAAAACTGCATGTCCTCCTCTCTTTCCCTCTATAGCTGGCCTCAGATAAGAGCAGCAGTAACATGGAGCCCTTCCCTCAATCTACAAGCATGCACATGAACTTCGAGGACACACAGGCCGTGCTGGAGGACTACGCTGATGTGGTTCAGTACGAACGTGGCCAGCTGAATCCTGACGAGCATCAGGCTGACCCCCTGGACAAAGCCTCCACCTACAGCTTGACGAATGTGGTGCCCCAGATCAGGGAGTTCAACATCGGTCCCTGGGCAGAACACCGGGACCTAATTCGGAAACGTCTCAACAACTACTGCCGGGGGAAAGCCTACGTGGTCACCGGGGTCACCACCTCCGGGCACACCATCCGTCGCAACAACCTGGACCGGGTGGCTGTACCGGAGTACCTGTGGTCGGCCTACTGCTGCACCGAGTTTGACCAAAATGCACCGTACTTTGTGCGCTACAAGTTCCCCGTGTTTGCAGCTTATGGGCTCAACGACCGTGTCAACAACCACATGGTGGAAGTTCCTCTGAAGAACATGGAGAAGTTTCTCAAGGGGAGGATGGATGTGGATAAGAACTTCCAGATTTTCTATAGTGACTGTGTGCCAGATATCTAATTTAATGTGGGAGTAAAATGTGATAAAACATTTCACTGTGGGAAGGTTTTGGGTTCCAGAAGCTTGAAATATGCCTGGAAATAAGAGTTGTTGTAAAATCACATCATATATTGTAAGCAATAAATTGGGGAATTGGAGTGAGTCCAAATTAAAATATTATTTGCCCTATCAATTACATTCTCTTTTCATCTTTCATGGTTTGTTAGATCTCAAGAAATATTGTAAAGTCTATCTATCACAATATATCCTAGAAATTAAAGGTGACATGTAAAAATTGCTTGTTTTGTAGACTAACACATCAATAATAAATACAATACAATTCAAATATGTAACTCTTCACTTTTGAAAACCTGACACAATAAAATCTTTAGCATATTTGGTTAAAAAATTACAAATAATTGAATGTCGAAAAACGAATAAATTCCAAATATTTGCCGGGTCTACTTTGAGGTATTTTTTGTAGGTATATTTACAATGTTGATTGTGTATAGTGCTGCCACCACTCTGACCACAAAGGGGTTAGGTTCTATCTAAATCCTGATCCAGACATTTCGATGATTGCCCTACATTCAGGTAAATAGGAAAATGAACTTATGTACCGTGTTTCATACCCTGAAAAGTAAATAACATGTTATACTAAAATGAACACAAACCAAAGCATTTACTTTTGAATGTATGGACACATTATCCAAGATTCAGATTTAATACATTTCAATGGAGCAATGATGAAGAAATGTATCAATTTCTATCAGCAGTTTGGTCTTTAAATTTGTTGTAATTATTCATTTCATCCAAAATATGTCCCTACAGCTTATTTTAAATCAAACATGCTGAAAATGCAGTACAAAGTCTGTACTAATAAGACGATTTTTAGAGTCCATCCTCAAAAATAATAATTCAAGTGTAAGTCTGAAACAGAAATAGGTCTGCAGTACGTTTATGTTGCCCTGTTGGCAGTCTGAGGCATACACAGATTATAGAATGAAGACTGATCCAGAGATGACACTCTCTTCCACGCCACCCACCCCCGCTTCTGCAGCTCCATCTTCTCCAGCTGACAACCACAGTAGTGAGGGTCAACGACTAACAGGTAGCTCCCATCTTCCCCAGTGCACACCCCGAAGATCCCTTTAGAAGAGTTGTCCCTGTCCCCTCCCATCATGACTGGAGATCCATGCTTCTCAAAGTGCAGATGGAGCTCTTCCACGGCAACATGCTCCAGCTCTGCTCCTCCACCTCTAACATGCACTAACTTACAGGGAACATCATAGAAATAGTCAAGAATCAGGGAGGCTTCGAATGTCCCTATCCAATCCCTGGAGGGTGAGAACGAGCCGGGTTTGTCCCCCATGGTGACCAAAGCTTTCTGGATTTCAGGGAGGCTTGGTGGAGGTGTTTGTTTGTCCTTAAGTGGAACACAGTTATTACAAATCCAGGAAGCCATGGTCTGAATAGTGCGGTAGCCACATCCCCAACCTCTGTCATCTTGTCCATCACAGCCATAATGGAAGTAGAGATAGTCTCCTTTTATCAGAGAACATTTCACATGATTTGAAAGTGGATAAGGAAGACCTGTGTGGACACTTTCGGATAAGCTTTGGGTCCTCTTCATAATCTTCCCTTCGTCCGCTGCACTCTCTCCCCAGTCAATTTCTTCAGATTCCGCTGCCATTAACTTTGTATCCATTTGTTATAGTTTGTCTCAATCGAATAGCCTAAACATTTAACGTTATGCATTGGAGTTCAACAGTTTAACGGCTGTTGACACGGAAGTCTCCTTGTGTAACTGCAATAACAGTCCCATCGCACCACTTGCCGAAATGTCTTGTTCCGCCTTAGAAATGTTCCTACAGACGATGATGCCTTCAGGAGATGACAGCTCCTTTTCAGCATTGCGATACAACGGGACGTTTGAACATGTATTTAATTGCAAACATCAATAAAACGTTTTAGTAGACAATACTGAATAAAGTTGCAGAATATTTGCACCAGCCAATTTAGCTTTTATTATCGTTTTCTTTCTTTTTTTACATAATATTATAAAACATCTTCTTGTTTCAAGCCGCAGCATACGGTATGTTCTTCTGTATGTTGTTCAACTAATGTTTTGAGCAGTCTTTGAAGCTAGCATTAAGCTCTCAAGAGCACGCGAGCTCAGCACACCTGTGTGTAATTAATTTGACGGTTGGCTAATTATAAATTGCTAGCTTGTTTGTTTTTTTCTTAATTTAGAAGAAAGAAATGGCGAAGCAGGTAAAATATATAATATTCGTGTGCTTATTCCATCTTTTGCTGTTTGCGTTGGACATTAGCTTGGCTGAAAAAAGTGATGTAGCAACTCGTGAAACCGGCGGAATTGAAATAAAGTGCGGAGAAGTCGAAGTGACAATAACCGTTAAAAGACAGTTTTTTGAGAAGAAAGGTGTTCCGTTCAAACCTGAGCATCTTCGGCTTGGAGCAAACTCAACCCAGAAGAGGTGTGGAGCGAAGGGACCGGCGGCTGACTCCGACATGGTCATCTCTGCGGGGCTGAAGGACTGCGGCACCGAGTCCCGTGTAAGAGAAGGGGACAGACTACGGGAAATGAGAGGAAAGTTAGAACTACTTGGATATTGTAATAATATCCAGTGGTGGAATGTCACTTAATGTATTGACTCAAACTACTATAGCCTACTTAAGAACCTTTGTGACATATTTTACCCTAAGTTAGTATTTCCATTTAATGTTACTTTACTTTAAACTAAATTAAACTTCATACGCAATTATTGCACTTTTCTCTTAACACTATATTTCTATAAAACTTACTTTTTACAGGAGGTGGAAGAAGTACTCAGATGTTGTAGGCTTACTTAAGTAAAGTAGAAATACCAGACTCTAGGAATACTCTGTTACAAGTTAAAGTACTGCATTCAACATGTTACTCAAATAAAAGTACAAAGGTATTAGCATCAAAATATACTTAAATGACCAAAAGTACTGCATTAAATTAAATTAAATGTCATCATAATATATATTATATGTTTTGATTATTATTATTTATGTATTGATGTGTTTATCATCTGGTAAAAGTGGAACTATTTTTAATTAGTTTATTTACTGCTGGGTAGCTTGTAACTAAAGTCTTATTTTAAGTGTTGATTATATTTCACATCATTAATCAAAATCTGCAAAGTAACTAAAGGTAACAAATAAATGTAGTGGAGTAAAAGTACAATATTTTCCTCTGAATTGTAGTGGAGTAGAATAACAAATTAGCATCAAATGGAAATACTCAAGTATAGTTCAAGTACCCCAAAATTGCACTTGAGTACATTAGTACAAGTGTACTTAGTTACATTAAACCACTGCTTTTTACTTATGAAAATACATGATGGGCTGCAGTACTGTAATACTTATGTAGGCTACCCATTATTTGAAGTATCTAAAATGGGTTCCTCTTACAACAATACAAAATGCTCTGACATGTATGTGTTAGTGATAGGATAATATGTTATAATAATATAATACTGTGAACAAAGTGGTTTTAAGCCACTCCCTATGCTACTTTACAGGTTCATGGTGATTGGCTAGTGTATTCCAACCAGCTGGTGCTCACAAATGCTGTGGTTCCATCCTCTACAGGTAGTTTGATAGTAAGATGGGCAACTACTTTCATACCCATTGAGTGCCATTATAAGAGGTGAGGCGCACACACAAGAATTCATACAACAACATGGCATTTCAGGTTTCTTGCTGCATTATATTCGAAAGGAACAAAGTGAGTTGTGTTTGGCTGACTACACTTTGTAATTGTGTAACCAATTTGTTATCTTTGTGAGCACAGAAAGCAGACGGTGAGTGGAGAACCATTAACCCCAACCTGGCTACCCATGACATCAACTATCAGTGTCTTCGGCCTTCTGCACTTCTCCCTACGCACCATGGCAGGTAAAACCAGCCCACTGAATCCAGCCTGGACCAGTGGAAGATTTCTCTGAGATTTTTTCAAGTGTTTTCTGGACAGTATATGAAGTTGTGACTGCAAAAATGTCTGTTTGTTCTCATGCAGACGGCTGTTCCTCTCCTCGTAGTTCCTCAGTGTATCAGCAGGGGGAAGCAGTGTTTTTGGAGGCGAGCGTGGAGGCCCCACTGCACCCTCCTCTCACTCTTTATGTGGACTCCTGTGTTGCTACGCCGAAGCCGGACCCCCTCTCATTGCCAAGCTACAAGTTCATCACCAAGCATGGGTCAATATTTTCTTCTGACTACAAAAAGTAACACTCATTTATGAATAGTTCAGCACAAAAAACTCACAACAAAGGATCATTATATGGTGCGGGGCCAAAGCAAGGATTACAATCTAAGAAATAATTGATTGAATGGATACTCTGAAGCAATTTTTGTCATGTTACAAAATTTATCTGACTGGGTTGGAAGAGTAGGTTCATGTCTAAAGTTTGTCATTTATGGAATAATTTCAGTAATCGATGTGTTGCTCCTCTGTGACAGATGTCTTATGGACAGTGTTTTACCGGGGTCTTCATCTAAGTTCCTCCCTAGGAAGCAAGATAACAGGCTATGTTTCAGCTTCCAAGCCTTCCACCTCAACAAGGAGACTGTGGAGCAGGTAACAACATTAGACATGAGTGATTCATTACTTTGACATTGTAGTCATCATTAATTAGCACTATGGTGTTGTTTCTTTGTGATTATTGTTAATCTATATAAATTAATCCTGGATAAAATGCACTTAATTAAATGTATGTTCTTTTTCTAGATGTTCATCAGCTGCCACATCAGAGCCACTCTGAAACAAAAGTCGCACAGCCATCTTGATAAAGCCTGCTTCTTCAATAGGCCCACATTCAGGTTAGGTTGAAAAGCAACTAGTGAACTTCGGTTGTCGTTCGGTTGCATCCCAGCTGAGGTGTTTTATCAAGATGTTTCTCTGTCAATCAGCTGGCGTGCCACGGAGGGAGACGATGCTCTGTGTGGATGCTGTGCCTCTGAGGACTGCAACACTGGTCACACCACTCAGCTAAATACAGGTTGCTCTGCCCTTTACAAACAAATGCAACCAACCCAATTAATTACAAAACAATAATATGGTCACTAAGCCTGTTGTAATTTTATTTTTGACAGAAGAGAAGCATGAAGCGGACACAGCAGTTGGGCCCCTTCACACCCTGCCGCGCTCCCATTGGACAGGCCACCTGTCAGTCAATCACTAAAGAGTATTTTTCCTACTTTACACTTTGGTGGGTACAGGGACTGTTGACACCAAAACCAGGGGATTTGGGTGACAGGGATGATAACGAATCCATCACATATTGTTTTTCGAATGACGTCATAAAAGTGGAAATTTGGATGCTATTTTTTGGTTCTCCTGATTTATTTTATACTCATTATATGATCTGATCCCTGGAGGCCTGTGCATCCGTTTTCAACACATCACAGAAGTAAGCCGACACAACTATCCTGAGGAAGATAGAACACTTCGGAAGAAGAGATGAGCTGGCCATATTGTAAACCGAGTATTAGACTTCATACATCAATGAAAGGCGGAGAGTTTTTTCACTCTGTTAAAAGATGTGTTCATCATTTTGGACAGTGTCAGTTAAATGATACTTCATCATTATATACACTTTAGTAATTCCAACTACAATATCACACTTCCATGCTTTATGCCAGCACATTGAGTAAGTGCTGTTCTTGTTTTGCCTAAGGATGCTCATAAATCAAAACTCTGTTAAGCATACTTTGAGGAAATTGTACATGATGACCCGAGATAAAACAAACCTAACTCTGACCAATTTTAACACTGATGGTGGAAGTTGCACAGTAGTCTTGAACCTTATACCTATTTGGTTGTCTCAATATTTAAATGTTTTGGGCTGAGTAAAGTAATCCTGTTTACAAACGAGCGTCTCCTTAGTGAAGAATGGGTAGTTTTTCAGTCAGCCATGTAAATTGATAGCCACGAAAAACAAACCCATGAGGAATTTCCACAAAGAGGCCAAAGAACTACAATAGAACCCACAATATCTTGGAGGCAACAAGCGCACAAGAATAAACAGATAATTGGAGTAAGAATGGGACAGCTCGGCAGCCATACACTGCATGCGCTTTACATCCCCTGTCTGCAACAGAGACACTAGTTTAGTCCTCTGAGAGGCAACGTGACAGATCACATGGGAAACCTGGAAGATTTCATGAGACAACGTCTTGCCTCTTGATATGTATCCTGATAATGAACCTCTTTATTCAACCATTACAAATTCAATTTTAAAGAAGATCTTTTCAGGATCTATATGCTGGTCTTTCTCTTATCTAATTTGTTTTGTATTGCTCCAGAGATCAGAAAGAACAATGTAATTATCTTGTATAGCAAGACATTTGTGAATGGAATAGTTTAGATAGCAGTCAAAGGAACTACTGTTAGTAACATTTAGGATTCGTTATGAGCATCCAGTTTGAGGTGTTAGTTATAACGTGACATGCCTGGCATATTTTAACCACCCCGACTCAGTCGTACACTATTCTGACAGCTGTGTCTCTACGAGTGGCCAATTGAAATTGTTATTGATATGTAGTGTATCATATTTAAAAGGCCCTACGCCCCCTCACCATTTGTAGCTGTCCTGTTTTGTTTTTTCAAATGTTGTGACTCATATGTTACACACTGTTATGCAAGTATTTGTCTTGGCAAGAGACATTGGATAATGTTTGATGTCTCCCTTAGTTGGAGCCACTCTCAAACAGACAGGGTTCCAACAGGAAGACCTTCCCAGATTATCATCTACAGGACATGCCACTTTTGTAACAGCACATGTGTATGTACAAATTATTTTACAACACATTTAATCCCAGTATACATAAAAAAGCATGATTACAATTTGTATGGCTATGTTTAGGTACTTAAAACACTTTAACATTCAGGAGAGATCCTTAATGAGGGTCCTGGTTAAATATCGAAACAGTTAAATGAGATTTAATGTCACAACGATGAAGCGAGGGAGAATGGCAACAAGAGAACAATCCAATCATAGATTAAGCAAGGAAAGTAGCTGGAGATGAGTGATAGAGAGATTGTGACACTTGAACCTCGATACATGCAGTTTTTATTTAAATAACCTTTGCCAAAAAACTGGATCTGTGCCTAATCCTAACCACAGTGCTCGGTTTAGTTGCCCATCATCAACCCAAACCATCTCCATGCAACTTGCATGCACAATACAAATATAGTGATTTTAATTAGATTACTAGCACTGAACACAGTCCACGGTTACAGTTACGTGTCTTTCCTTTAACATGTTCAGCAAAACAAATAAGACAGAACATTTCTAGATGACAGCGCTGGTAAAAAGACGCCTTAGCGCTCACATGTGACGAGCCAAAGGCTTTTAAAATCATCCCAGAGCGTCCCTACTCTAGGCAGATTTCCCATCTTTTTTATTGAGCAATTGATAAGCATCTGAGATCAGGTTACCATGCACATTCCTACAGGGAACACAATCATTCTAACATATCAAATGTAGGAGTGGAGAGAGAGCTACATCATTGTTTAATAATGTGTGGTTTAATTAAGTGCAGCCTCTTATTTTAAGTTGAAGACATACCTAATGAGATATATGCTTTGTTCAGTGCAGCAGGGAGTTGGAGCTGATTCTGTAGGGACAAACAACAAGGTGGGTTGAATTAAAAAGGAGTACATACACATAAACCAGATTAAGATGACCTCTTAACGTTGAAACAGCTTATCTCAAATTATGTGTAAATAACCTAACCAGAAAAAGTAAGAGAAAGTTCAAATGAATGAATATCTGAGGGTATTATCTTCATTGTAAATATGTATAACCACATGGTACTGAATACAAATTAAAGTTAAAGATTAATATTCAACGTACAATGAGTAGTTTTAAAGAAAGTTGTTACAGTGTTAAGTTGTTGGCCACTTAGTAGCCCCAATGGAGTATAACAGGGGTTAAATGCTTTACTCATCGGCCAAATGACAGCGTTTGATTGGGGAGAAACTCCAGTGATGAGGTTCCTGTTCGGGATTGTTCTCCACACTTGTTGCCGTCACCATGGAATCACAATGTGTTCGATTGAGGGATAAGATTCTTGTCACCATGGAAGCCTGAAAGCTGAAACAATAACTTCCGACCTCGTCGGTGTCTACCGTCGTGACTCTTGTCTTGGCTCCTGTGTCCCTCACAGACAGTCCCATTCTTTTATGTCAGCTTCCTGTCTTGTGTCGCGCCAGAGGAGTAGACCCAGCTGGCACGAGCCCAAAACCTGGATGAGAAAGTAAGTAACACACACACTCCATTTTAACAGCTGTGCACTTAGAAAGCCTTTTATATAGTACATTCAAGC